CTACGGCGGGTACGACGTGGGCGAGGACGGCGGCGAGGGCGCCTTGGTGGGCGGGTTCGGCGGCGGCGAGGGCGGCGGGCTTGGCGCCTTGGTGGGCGGGTACGGCGGCGGCGAGGGCGGCGGGCTTGGCGCCTTGGTGGGCGGGTACGGCGGCGGCGAGGGCGGCGGCGAGGGCGCCTTGGTGGGCGGGTAGGGCGGCGGCGAGGGCGGCGGCGAGGGCGCCTTGGTGGGCGGGTAGGGCGGCGGCGAGGGAGGCGGCGAGGGCGCCTTGGTGGGCGGGTAGGGCGGCGGGTAGGGCGGCGGCGAGGGCGCCTTGGCAGGCGGGTACGGCGGCGGCGAGGGCGGCGGCGAGGGCGCCTTGGTGGGCGGGTAGGGCGGCGGCGAGGGCGGCGGCGAGGGCGCCTTGGTGGGCGGGTACGGCGGCGGCGAGGGCGGCGGCGAGGGCGCCTTGGTGGGCGGGTACGGCGGCGGCGAGGGCGGCGGGCTTGGCGCCTTGGTGGGCGGGTAGGGAATTGGTGACGGAGGGGGTTTGGTGTCAAACGTTATCGTTCGGGCTTTGAGGTACGTGGCATCTGGATCCGTGAAGATGTCGGGGGAGGCTCCAAGTTGAAGTCTTCGGCGGCGTTCGGTGTAGGTGATGGTGCAGCTGGATCCGGAAAAGAGCAGGCACTGCTCAGCCTTTACTTCGAAACCGCAGATGCTCTCATCGGCGTTGCTCTGCGCGCAGCAAGTCCCGTCGTCGGCGGTTGTCACCTAAGAGCACGCGCATGGGTGTGACGGCTCCTGTCAATCTGACAGCGTGCCTCTCAATCTCGGCAGAAGATGCGGGGCGCGGGGGGGGGGGGGGGGGGGCCCCCCAACCTGTCCAAATTTGGGATGCCCGGTTGATCCCAAAACACCTCGGGATCCATGCCCTGGGACCCCCAGGGAGGGGGGGGCAGCGATGGCGACGGGGGCAAGCAGGGAGGATAGCTTTCTGAGAGTCGTCGCAGCTCAGCATGCTTCCGTGGCGTGTATGAAGCCACTCGCTCCGAGGTTGATGCATCGAGCATGGCTCGGAGATCCGATCTGAGGGCAGCCTCCTCGCTTGCGAGGAAGCGCGAGAAGGCAAAGTCGGTGGCATACGGCGAGGCGACCTCGTACTGCATGGCCTCTCCCTCGATCGCGCCTTCCGCCATCGCACTGGTTGTAAAGTGCCCTGCCTCAGGGTACTCGTCCACCATGCCAAAGCGCGGAGCCGTCGACGCAAAGCTCTGGCCGATGAGACCGTGTGGGAGGTCTCGCGCGGCTGCATCGCCTCTCGCGCTGAAGCTTACGTCCAGTCGGTGCTTTGGGCCAGAAATCCAGTCGTAGACATGATTGCCCCGCACGATCACCGTCCAGTTGCGCAGGCTGAAGTAGGCGCTCGACATGCTCACATCAATCGAGAACCCTAGGCACTCCCTCGACCCATGCTTGCCAAGCACGAAGGGCCGTGGGATGTCGGCTCGCAAAAAGCACGAGCCGTTGATTATTCCCCAGCCCCAGTTCTCTTCGTTCAGCTCGGATGCCCAGAAGGATGCGACAGCTCTCTTACCCCCGTCACCTAAGCGCGCCGACATGTGAGCCTCGGTGATGAAGGAGCCGTCGACCGTCAACCTGCCGCCGCGAAGCAGGAAGCGGGCGTCCTCAGTCTTTATATTGACTGCCAGTCCAGGCGCCGACAACATGCTGTAGTAGCGCCCGTCTTGCCCCCGAAAGTCTGCAGTGCCACCATGCGCAAAGTGGAGATGCGGGTCCTTGTTGACCACAGCGTCAACACAAGGGTCCTGCGCCGTTGCTGGTGCCGCCGACAGTAGCAGGGCAAAGCTGGCGGCCTGCACTGCGCGGCCACTGCCGCTCGGGCCACGACGCCCCCGCGTCATTGCATGCCAGCAGCACCGGCGCGATCTATTACAACTGTACGCAAACAAGTGCAACTACTACTTGAGCAGCGTCCGAACGCGCGCCAAAAACTCGGCGGTTAGTGATCTGTGATCTGTGATCTGTGAGGGTCCGCCCGCAGGCGCATTTTCATTCAGTGTATGTAGCTCTTACGAACATACCCGTAGGTGAACTGCTGACAGGGTTTGCGATGAGGAGCGATCCGAACGTGATTTTGTATACCGAGGCGGTGCCCGGTGCCGAACCTGTCGGACCTTAAGACAGCATTGTAGATCCCTGGGCGAGGGTGATGGCGTCCCCGTTCGGGAGGGGCTGTCTGGGGGGGTGCCCTCCCACCGTCACCTACCTCACCAGCGTCCCGGTGAGTACGGCGATCAGAGCTCCCCCGTAGAGAAGGGAACATAAAATGCGCAGCCGCACGAGAGTTTCTGAGATCAGCTTAGGTGAGTGGCAGACATTTCACAAAATGGGCGCCGCCAGGCGCCGCCCGCGCGCTGCGAGTGCGTGCCCACCATGGTTGGGCGCGCAGCGAGAAAATTTTGGATGAGGATGTCGACAGCCTTTTGTAATAGGAAAGTGGCCTCCCCTCGGCGCCATACCGCTTTTCGGCGCACAGCGGAGTTCTCGCAAGCCTGGCATGCTGCCTTCCCTACTACACTTTCAGAATGGAGGCAAAAACGCAGCGCAGGGCTCAGCTGTGCCCAGACCAAGTCGATTTGTACCAAAGTTGGTAGACAGTGCCAAAACCACGGAATCAAACATGGCTCTTAATTTCGCGCACCTGGTGTCCGTACTGCCGCATGGTGCGAGAAGGTCTCCGCTACGATGCTTTTCCTGTGTGCGTCAATGCAGCAACCCATCGAGCGCGTCACTAACACTATGACCTGACCCCTCTGATAACCGACGTCGCCAACGGCAAGCCTGCGTCCGTGTTGCATATGTTCTCCAGTCATGTTCGCATTGCGGTGGATTGCCAATTCGAGCCACTCGAGCAATCATGCACAATCAATGCGCCGAAGAGCTGAGACGCAGATTCTTTGGACTTTGCACCGGGTCAGCAGGCAGGCAGTGCAAGGTCAAGCAAGTGGTCGCGGCACTGGTCAAGTGGTCGCGCCAGACTGCATCAGACGTCAGACTGCGCCAGACTGCATCAGACTGCGCCAGACTGTTTCAGACTGTCTAGACCGTGAATTGAATAGTAGGCGAAGACTCTAAATCCAAAGAGGTAACGAACCAACCGGCTGACGAGCGGTCGGGCCCTTGTCTCACGCGAGGCCCCGGAGTCCTTCAGCGTCCATGCCCGAGGAAGACGAGTGGGTTCTGGACGATGGCGTACCGACCACGATTGCACCGCAGAGCCACCGTGCGCACGCCATTCTTGCCGGCTTCAAAATGTGACGCCCTCTAGAAGTCACGGGCGCAGAGCGCAACACCCGCGGAGAATGGCTGCGTAGCTCCCGCTTCCCGTAACTGACTGCGTGCGTGCGCACGCGCAGCAACTGGATGAGCATGTGCGACGCCGAGACGGGTAGCAAGTACTGGCAGGAGGAGGAGTGGGGCGACCTGATGGCCGAAAGGGAGATCCACATTCCCGCCTCCATCCTCCGCTGCCGTGCGGTGGCACGCGAGTTCCAGTTCTCATCGGTGCGGGGAGCCCGCAGTTTGCAGCTCGCGCGGCGCGGGCGCCTGATCGTGCCCCTCCCGGCCCTCTCAGGTGGAGTCGATGGACGACTTGCGGATCGAGCAGCGAATCTTCTTTCAGGCAAGCTCCTGCTGCCAAAGGGCAAACGCCGCCGCAGCACCTCGTCACATGGTCCCGCCCGCGCAGGAAAATTGCATGGAGGAATGGCGTTTCCACTTTGGGTTCGTCATTCCAAACTCGACCAACACCTGGCAACAAACCATCGAGGCGCCAGGATCCTAGGGCCGAGAGCTGATATGTGCGATCGGCAGCAGACTACCGAGACGGAGGGACGGCTGCCCCACCTCGGCCGGCCCGGGTGTTCCAGGTTTGCCATTGTTCCGCTAACACCTCACCGTGATATGGCTTGCCCCGATCAGGCTGCGGCGGAGGACAAAATGCTGCCCGCGGCCTTGCTGAACGGCAACGTGGTGGTCCAGACAGCGTTTTACGATGGCGCGCGCACACGGCGGTTTCGATGGGTGGACATCCAGCCGACGTCACGCTCACCCCCCCACGACTCGTCCTCTCAGGCGACTTACTCGTGTGCAAGTCCAAGTTGCGGGTGTGGTACGACAAGGCCTGAAATTACCCGGCCGCGGCGCCGGCGCGCCGGCCGGCAGCGCTCTCGCCGCGAGGCCATGCACGCCCTCTTAAGAGCTCCGCGCGCGATGTCGGATCCTATCCGGCCGCCTGTCCGTGTCGCCGGACCTGACCGACCAACCGCGCGCGAGAGACTAAGCGCGGTTGCTTTTTAATATCTTATATGGCGCGTGTACAGCCCCTGTCATGTGTGTCAACGACGGCCCGCACAGGCTAGTTCCAATTCACTCTGACACGCTAATCTTGAAAACGCGTCCAACGGAGCTCCGTGTTGCTCCCAGCGCCCTCCCCCGAGCTTCCTGCGGCCATGGCCGGTGCTACTAGTATGGGGGGCTACCTGGCTACCGCGAGAGCGACCCAACTCGTCGACATCGTCCGATGATGGTGCCTCAAAGTCAGCCTTCGGAGGCTATCGTGGGGTCGAGCCGGCAGTAGCCGCGACATGTGGTTCCACCACCCCTCGTAGGCTTTGCCTCTGCTCGCCACCGTTCCCATGCTGCCTAATGGGATGGAAAGGGAGGCTGGGCGAGCGTATAGAAGCGTGCTCGACCTCGACTTGGCAGCCTGCACGGCAGCGCTGGTAGGCGCGATGAGCGTCGTGCCACTTGACCCAAGACGGGTCGCAGGCGTCGTACCGAGCGTGTCGAGACCGTGTCCTGATGTGATCTGCACGGGTGAGTCACGTCGGCGTCAAAGGAGCGACGTGCGACCTGTCAGAGCTTGAATCTCCGATCTCAGCGGCGTCGAGTCGTCTCCGGCGCGCGACAAAGGTACATCCACAGGACGCGCAGAGGCAGCTGCGACCGGGGTGAGTGGACGGCGTCACACCGCGCCACCTGCTGTGTGACGCCGTCTACTCGGCGGGGTCGCAGCTGCCTCTGGAAGGCACCGAGATGTACCTTTTTCGCGCAATGGTCAAAATCAAGGTTTTGTAACGCGAGCTGTGCCACAGTGATCTGTGATCTGTGAGGGTCCGCCCGCAGGCGCATTTTGTATACCGAGGCGGTGCCCGGTGCCGAACCTGTCGGACCTTGAGACAGCGTTGTAGATCCCTGGGCGAGGGTGATGGAGGGGGCGGTCCGGCGGCGGAGCACCCACCTCCTCCCGGCGCGCCGGTAGGCAGGATGTCATCCCCCGTGATCCAGACTGCCCATGGGGTGACTGTCAGCGCTAAACCGTAACCCGCCGGGGGGCGGGCCGGATCCACGCGTTCCCAGACAGCCCCATGGAGGTAGGCCACTCGTCTAGCCAATCAGCCTTAAGCGAGCGGCCTGGCCGTTGGAATGGCCGGGTGGAGAGAGGGGCGGAGTCGGCTCGGAAGCGCGACTGCAGCCACGGGGACTGCCCGCCCACTCTCGTCGGGTTGAGGGGAGGACGACTGTCTCTGACGGCGGACCTCAGTTACGAGCCGCCCTCCCCTCGAGACGCGAGGCCAGTGCACTTGGGGCCAAGCCCCAGCGTACACCGTCCCACACGCCTCACGCGGCCTCTGGCTGGAGCGGGATCGCAAGCGAGTCCCCCAGGCCGGCGCGCGTCTTCCGAGAGAGGAGCCGGAGCGAGGGACCTCCTTAGTAAGCCGGCATGCAGGCGCATGCGCGGCCGTTCAGAAACTTTCCCAGCCGTTGGAATGGCTGCGCTCCCGCCCCTCACCGGGCCGCGAACGGGTAGTAGACGTTGGTGCCGAGGAGGGAGGAGTCGCCGAAGGACGGGTAGTCGTCGGTCATGCGGGGGGAGGAGGAGTCGGCGAGCAGCAGGGAGGAGAAATGCCTGAGAGGGTGGGGAGGGAGGCGTGAGGCGCGAGGTGAGGGGGCGCGGGGCGCGGGGCGCGGGGCGTGCGTGGGACGCGCGGCGTGAGGCGCAGGGCGTTGGGCGGGAGGGCGCGGGGCGCTCGAGGTTGGGGCAGGGTGTGTTTTGTGTGTCTGTATGTGTGTCTGTATGTGTGTCTGTATGTGTGTGTGTGTGTGTGTGTGTGTTTGTTTGTGCGAGGGCTAGGCGGGGCAGGGCAGGGCGGCGGCGAGCGGCGAGCGGCGTCGGCGAGATCGGCGATGAAGAGAGGCGATGGTGACGTACGGCGGCAGTGTTCACGGCAGCAGCGCCGGTGGCGGCCCCGCGCAGCGGTGGCGGCGCCCTGAGTGAGGCAGACTGCCCTGCACAGCCTGCTGGGCACGCTCCCGACGAGCGGCGCGCCATGCGGGCCCGCCGCGGGCGACGCGGGCGGCGAGCCGACACGCGTGTCGCCGGCGTAGACAGCACTGGCGAAGCGAGGCGGCTGGCGCCGGCCCCGGAGGCGGCTGCAGTAGGAGCAGCGAGGCAGAAGTCACTGTCCAAGGCGTACTGAGCAGGCTGCCATCGAGCAGCGCGCCATGCGGGCCTGCCGTCGGCGACGAGATTGGAGAGCCGACAGGCATCGAAGAGGTAGGTACTGAGGAGGGCCATCGCGCCCGAGGCGGTCCGCGCCGGCCCTGCAGGCCGTCTCAGAGAGCCTGGCGAGGCTGTACAGAATGCCAAGAGCATACTGGGCAGGCTGCCGTCGAGCGACGAGCCATGCTGGCTCGTCGCAAGCGATGAGGTCGAGGAGCCGATCGGAGCGTCGCAGAGGCTGCCGACCACTGCCGTTCGCCCTCGGGCCCAGGGGTGGAAGGCAAGCTTCCTGGCGTTTCTGGCGAGCGTCCAGACGTCGCAGAGCATCCGGCAGGCGCGCAGCGACCCAAATTTTTGCTCACCGCACGGCCGTGCGAGCTGTCGGTCGGTGGTGATGGTCGGCGGCGGCGCGCGCCGACCAACGCGGCTGCGGTGGGCGTCATGTGGCGGGCGTCGGAATGAGCATTGTGCGCCGAATTTCGGACGTCCTCCTTATCACAGTGAAATGGAACTAGCCTGAGCCACAGGGTGAGAGGCTGAGGGAGACATGGGGATGGGCACGTGCGACGCGAGTGGGGCGCGGAGAGCGCTGAGCGGCGCGAGTGCGCGCGGACTGGGGTGAAGCCAAGTCGAGGCGCTCTCTTGGCTTCCACACAAACTGCAGAGAGTAACTTTCAGGACGAGAACTCTCGAGCGGCTGGCAGCCCAATCTGAGCACACCGACAGGGGCTCCTGGGGACTGAAGTGCGCTGTTCCACGTGTGGAGCACGTGTCCTGAAAGGGTTAAGCAGAGTCGTACGGCGCTGGTGAGAGCGGAAGAGTGCTCGTACCCCGGGCGGCGAAGGTTGGCAGCGCGAGACCGCGGTTGAGAGCGAGCACCCGCACCTGTATCGTCAGCCACAGGCCTAGGAGCAGCGCCTGCTCGACCTGCGTCGGGGCCGCCGAGAGCCAGAGGGCGGTCGCGGCACCGCCGAGGAGGGCCGGCGCGGCGTAGATCTCGGCGTGCGAGTGCAGGATCCGCACGGGGCGGCGGAGGAGGACGTCGCGTGTCAGGCCGCCAAAGGTGGCGGTGAACATGCCACACAGCGCCGCGCCGCCGACGTGCGGGCTCCGAGGGCTGACGCTGCTCCCGACGTAGGCGCCGTTCGCCGCAAATGCGCCGAGCCCGACGGTGTCGGTCCAGAAGAGCCACTCGTCCTCAGTGGTCAAGCGCAACCGGCGGGCAACGGCCGGCCAGCAGAAAAAAGCGAGGCCGCTCACCATGGGCGCTAGTGCGGCCTCGTCCCACGCGGTGAGCCAGAAGACTGGTGTCCGCCCGAGCACAATGTCTCGAAAGGTGCCGCCTCCGAGCGCTGTGACGAAGCCGACGACAAGGCAGCCCATGAGATCCATTCCCTCCTCGCCCGCGGCAAGCGCGCCAGTCAATGCGAAGGAGGCGTCGCCGATGTAGTTGAAGAGCGCAACGGCAGCACGATCGGTGTCGTTAATGGCAGATAGCTGCTCTGGGCTCGTCAAGAGGAGAGTTAGCAGCAGCGGCAGCAGAAAGCACGCTGCAGCGGCGTGCCGGAGTGCGTGGCCTATCATCGGTGGGTTGGGGAGGTAACCAGTTTCGTTGTGAAGAGCTGGGGCGCGCCACCCAAGAGCCTAGGTAGGTGCGGATCGGCAAGAGCGCAATCGATCTTTTTGCCCTCTATCAGTGCCACCCTTTGCAGCCCTGTGATCTTGACAGCACCCCTCTCAGGCCTATGATCCTCAGCGCGCCCCCTCCAGGTCTGCTGATCCTCACAGACCCTGCCGTGGGTGCTTGATCCTGAGGCGCGCCCCCGCCGGTGCTGTGATCCTGAGAGGGATGTCTGTGATCCTGAGCCGCCCCTGCCCCAGCCTCGATGCGATCCAGTTCGGCAGCTATCTTGTCGCGCAGCGCATCGTCAAAAGGCAGCTAGCTTGTTGCAGGCGTCGCGCGCGTCCCGGAGGTCACGCAGGAGGCTCTCCATATATGTTGCAATAGCCCCCGGCTGGTTGGTTGCTGCAGTGCTCCCGTAAAACGTCTTGGCACCAGCTGAAGGCTTGCACGGCGCAGATCACATGGTTTCTGCACGGTATTCGGATTTTGCTATTTGCTCGTGTGGGGGGATATGCGTACGACCGGACAGGTCAGGCCCGGGCACGGTCCTGTCCTGGACACGTCTCGGGGAGGGGGGTGTCCGGGACACGTCCAGGCGCATCCAGTGTCATACCCCCCTGACACGGCTTGTCACCAGTGTGTAACCCTAATCCAAGCCCCCATCCTGATAGCTCCGACACTGTAACCCTAAACTTATCTCGCTTATTCACAGATGAGAAAGGGACGTACGTATGTTCTGATTACAACCCTAACCCTTATGCTAACTGTGTATGATAGACAAATGGCGGGCGGGATGCCAAAGGATCTCTTCTTTAAAGTATTACACGCACTCGAGGTGTGGACAGAGCAGATGATCTATGGCTTTGTGAATTGGGACGATTACTAGGCGGGCGAGAGACGGCCGATGCCCTAATCACTTGCGCACCGCCTTGCGCTTGCGGGTGAATTCGGGCCACTCCACAGGCTGATGAACCTCTGTCTCGAGCTCATGCATCTTGACCTCGAGGGCCCGAATGCGAGCGAGGGCGGTATCATATTTGTCATCGAAGTGCGTAGCGACCTTGGGGAAATCCACGTCCTCGCAAGTCTAATACCGGCCGAACGGGCGAGGACTCCGCCAAGAGGACGGTTTTCTACCGGCAAGTGTCAACCCTGAAGCCGGGTATGAAGAACACCAAGTCCGTTTCGGCAATCCACTCGTGTACAGTAGTTGGCATAGATAAACCGCAGTGTCACGCGACCCTTATACACACGGCGCCCCCCTGAGATTCGATTGAGATGCAGATGAGCTCGCAAGCTCGCGCGTGTAATTCGTCGATCGGCCGTCCTATTCACACATCTCATTGAGATTGTTATCTAAATTGCATGTTCACAGCAATTGTCTCCCCTTTTTTTTCACCACCTGAGATCCCGAATCTCAGTCCTGCAATTATGACCCCAACTGCCCTGCCCTGCCCTACCGTACTGCCCTGCCCGCACACTGCCGCACAACTGCCCTGCCCGATCCCCTACCTGCCCCGGGTGTGAAACCCACACTGCCCTGCCCTGCCCAAACCACACTGCCGAGGTGTGAATACCTGCCCCTCCCGAGGTCTCGGAGAAACTTGTGGACCGCGGATATGCCAGATTTGTCAATGGTACCGCGTCTGCGACGCGGGCGCCTTGCGAGCAGAGCCCTTAGGCCACCCTTTATATCTTGCGCGGTCAAAATGGTGGCCGATAGCCGAGGTAGCTCCGGCGGACGTGAGAGCACGGCCTGACGATCAAGCACGAGAGCGACGAACGGAGGCGCAGATAACTGGCGGTGAACTCACTGCTGGATACCTGCTGGAGCTGCGGAAGATGCAGTAGCACTGCCGCAGAGCACGCGCGGAGCGCGCCGCTGGAAAGCACACGCGCAGAGCGCGCCGCTGGGTAGGTGCGGAGCGCCACCACTTGAGATTGGGCCTGTGGGTGGGCCGAGTGGTTCCAGCGTGTGAGTCGAGTGGTTCCAGCGTGTGAGTCAAACTCTTAATAGAAATCGCATCTAGCCCTCCGCCTCCACAACCCTCAAAGTTTCCTTCGGGGCGCGCTCCGCGCCTCACTCCTTGAGCGCACGTCTCACATACACTCATAAAGTGTAGGCGCTGGCCCCTGCACATGTTCTGCAGCTTGGGCTACGCCACGATCGGCGAGATCTTTGTCGAGCAAAAAAGAAATATGCACAACGCCTCACAAGCAGATCCTAACTGTGTTGTACCTCGCGCACGCCAGCGCAAAGAGCTTCGATCCTCCGGGGTTGGCGTCCGGCAGCGCCGCCAGGGCGAACACGTAGCCCGGGGCGGAGAGGGTCTGCGTCGCCTCACGCCGCACGGGCACCGCGTCGCCGCCCCGCTCCTCCCGCGGCTGGTCCTCCCACTGCGACCTCGCCCACACACGCACGCTGCGATCCTGTGGGCCTCCCCCTGTCGCCAGGCCCCCGTCCGGCAGTGCGCACATGCAGCGCACCACGTCGGTATGCGCGTCAAGCGTCGCCAGGACTGCACTCCTCGCCACGTCGAGGATAGCCACCGCGCCGCCGTGCGCAGGGAGAGGAACCCGCAGGAGCGACGCGCCACTGCCGTGCGGCTCCACACCCTCCCCCGCACTCCCCCCTTCGTCGTGGAGGCAGGAGACGGCGAGCAAGCCTGCACTGAACACACCAACGTCATGTGTCACGTAGAGCACCGAAAAGAAGGGCTACGAAGACGGTGAGTACGGCTGAGCACAGCTGAACGCGTGTCTTCCTCGAGTGCAGGTTGGAATACACGGATCTGTATACCAGGGAGGAATCTCGAGTGGGAGATTTCACGAGCGATACCCGGGACGTCTGGATCGATCATGCATCTAGGAGAGCAGGCCAAGCTGCGCGGTGAGCGGCTCCACGCACGCGATCGTAGCAGCTGCGCCGCCGCCGAATCGCAGAGCGAGATGCTCCTCGCACCGCCAGACTGCGTCGTCGCCGCCGCCGCCTGTCCTAACCCAGACCCTGAGCGCTCCGTCCGCTGTTCCGCAGGCCAGTCCGTCGGCCGCTGGAGGTGCGCGCGGGAGACATCCGAACGCCGTGACGCGGGCGGCGCCGCCCGCAAGCCCCAGCACCGACACCGATGGCTGTACGGCTCCCGGGCTCTCGGCTCGCAGACTGGCAACGGTGACCGAGGCCGCGACTCGCTCAAACGCGGCCGCCTGCGCAGCTTGCGCGGCGAGCGCCTCTGCGCGCCGCCGCCGCTGCTCCTCGCCCTGCGGCACGAGCCGAAACGCGGCCGGGTCGAAGGGGCGAGCCTGGTGAAAGGCGACCGCCAGGCAGGGTCCAGACGAGGGCCCAGCGCCCGCCGCAGCGGCGGGCAGCGCGGCCATGCAGGCGGGTGCCGTGCCAGGCGGCGCCACGATGGTCCCGACACACTCGCCGGCCGCCCACAGCCTCACGCTGCCCTCCGACCCCGAGGCGAGGTCGGCGCCGCGGCTGCAGCCCCGCGGCAGCGCGACGAGGCACGTCACCGGCTCAGGCCGCCCGCCGAGGAGCGCCTGCGTCATGGGCGCACCAGAGCTGGCGTCGTGTGCGCACCAGAGCCGGCGTCAAGGGCGCGCGCGCGTGAATACGGCAGTGTACTCAGAGCGCCACACGCGGAGACGAGGGCTGCGAGCCCTGGAGTCAGCATCTAGGGGAGGGTGCGCTCGGCGAGGCGTGCACCGCCTCCTTGACCCGCCGGCCGTGCCTCCAGAGCGCGATGCGGCCGTTGTCGAGGCCGCTCGCAAGGGTGCCGTCCGCGAGGGTCGCGATCGCGTTGACGTACGCCTTGCCGAGTTCGTGGCCGAGGGTCATCGCGCACACGTCGAGGAGGGCGCCGCCCCGCGACCCGCGCCTCCTGCGCAGCGACTCCTCGATCTGATCCTGCGCGAGCCCGTGCACAAGAAAGCTGTACTTGACCGGCAGGCTCGACATCGGCGCGCCCACGCTCTCGGCGCGCTCGGAGGGCGGCAGCTGCAGCGCGGTGATCATGCCCTCCGCGGCAGCCATGGCGGCCGCCTCAGCGGCCGCACCAGCCGCCTCGGCTTCCGCAGGCGTCAGGTCCTCTGTGAAAGTTGTCGGCTCAGCTGGAGCGGCTGGAGCCTCGTCGGCGGCGCCCACGAGCATGATCGTCAGCGCGGTCTGCCCAGGCTTGAGAGCGAGAACCTCGCCGAGCACGCCGCTGTCTGGGAGAGCTCCCTTCCATGGAGCTTCTGGCGCTCGGGCGGAACGCCGCTCAACGCTTGCAGCGCCCGCTTGAGCTCTGCGACCGGCATCCCTCCACGGAGGCGGACGCCGGTGAAGCGCTGCTTTCCCCACTTGACGACGGCGGGCAGATCGTCCGGCATGCTTCACCCGATCAGCTTTTGCTCCCGCGATCGGGCGAGACTCCGCGATGGCCGTGTGGGGGGCCGAGCTCCCCGCCGGCCCTTCTCGCGCGGCTGCCACCGCCTCGCGAATGCCTCCCAGCTCCTACCGACCGCAACCTGCCCGAGCTCCCGCCGCCGCCGCACCCAGATGCTGAAGCCTCTCGGGTGGCCCAGGAGGCCCGAACCGCCTCGCGCTCCCCCGCAGCGCCCCGACCCCTCCCTGACCGCCCCCGAAAGCAGCGAAGCCCGCGCCCTGCGCGGCCACCCAACCGAATCTGACTCCGACCCCAGGGCCTAGGCGGCCCGCCATGAAATCTAGCCGCGCCCCACCCCCCACCCCACCACACGAGCGCGTACAGTAACCGTCGTGTTAGGTTCGAGCTGTGCGATGCACGACGCAAGCGTACCAGCGCAGCAGCTGCGCACAGCGCTCAGCGGCGCGCTCGGCGTCGTCTGGCAGCGAGCTGTCCAGGAGCCGAAGTCGAGGCGGCGTCGCGGCGAGAAGGCCCGCGACAGTATTGAAGCGGCGCTCGAGCGTCGGCATCGTCGCCGCGGCTGTGTAGAGTGTACGGCGGCTGCAGCGATTCCTGTCTGTTCTTCTTTCTACCTACCTACCCCTAGCGATTGACCATACCCCCCCACACCCGTCGAGCAGGCCGCCTCACCGCCCCCCCCACCCTTTTGGCCGTGACCTTACCATGTACCTTACCCGCGTAGGGGGTGCACAGCGTCCCAATCTAAAATCTGAGGATTCAGGATTGAGGCATCGCTTCAGTGAGGCCAAAGTGAGTTTATGGATGTGTGAGAACGGTACGGGACACGAGGAGTCACGCGGACCGACTCGTCGGTGACTCTGCTGCACGCCGTTTCAGAATTTTTCTCAGCGTGAGCGAGACGTGGAAGAGTGCCACCGTCGGGTAGGACGGGTCGGCCCGGAGCATCAGAGTAGCCGTCGTGGTCGCGGCGAGCAGCGCCGGCCACTCCGGCGCCGCGTCGGCAACATGGGAGCATGTCCACCGCCACTTCGCGGTCGCAGCGCTGTTTGTCGACCAAACGCCGCTATGTACCTTTTCGGGCAAACCATCGAGCTGCATGTCGATTTCGACTTGACGGCGGCATGGAGGCATCACGTCTCCATGCCGCCGTCAAGTCGGAGCCAGTCTGCGGCGATCACAGCGCTCAGAAAGGTACATAGCGAGCTATTCAGAGTCAAGCGATTGCGCGAAATCCCACACTGGTGGATTTTGGGGCGCTGTGCACCCCCTAAGTTACCCCGTAAAAAGGGGTCGAATCCTGGTCCCAACTCAGTACTCACCCTCCACACCCCGTTCCCCGTACGCCGCCCTTCTAACAAGCCTTCTTTCTCCTTCGTTGAGTCTGTGTACTGTGAGTCTCCGGCGCACAACCGCAGCGCGGCTCTCCGCTTGTTGTCGCATGGAAAAGATCGAATGCGAGGGCACCTCTCTCGCGCATGCGATTTCGAGAGCATCAACGCGCGCGCAGGAGGAGAGACGAGTCGCCGTACGAGAGGAATCGGTACTCGCGGCGGACGGCGTGCTCGTACACCTCGCGGGCGTTGTCGGCCCCGCCGAGGAGGGCCGAGACGAGCAGCATCAGCGTCGAGTCGGGCGCGTGGAAGTTGGTCACCATCCCGTCGCAGAGGGCGAACCGGTAGCCCGGCGCGATGCACAGCGAAGTCGCGCCGTAGAGGCGGCCGCCCGCCGCCTCGGCTAGCCCGTGCAGAGTCGTCAGCGCCTCGAGGCGGGACGGGGGCGGCGCGGCGGCGGACAAGTTGTATGCGTCCCACTGCCCGAGGCGGCCCAAATCGCCTACTCGCGCGGGCGAGGCGTGTGAGCAGAGCGGCGCTGCGCGCTGCGAGGCGCCGTCGAGTGTAGCGCCGCTGGGTTTGGGGTCGGGCGCGGCTCTGGCGGCGAGCCAGTAGGCGGACTCGAGCACGCGCACGCTCGTCGTCCCGACCGGCACGATCGGGCGGCCCTCCGCCGCGGACAGGGCGAGCGCGCCGAGCGCGTCCGCGCTGGTGGAGAAGGGCTCGGGGGCGTGAGGACGGCCGAGAGGCAGCCGAGATTGAGCCGAGCTATAGCCTGCACCTGATGGAGAAGGGCTCTGCGTGCATGTCGTGCCCCGCCAGGGTTGGCGCCGTCACCGGCTTGAAGGTTCCTGTGAGGTGGGGAGGGAAGGGGGGGGGGGGGGGTGGAAGAGCGAGCGGCGGGGCGTCCGCCGCCGCGTGCTCGGAAGGCACCGGCGCCGACATGCAGTGTCAGCGAGGAGCTGCACACGCCGCGCGCGCGCAACTCCTCGAGCAACGGCTCGGTGAAGTGCAGGCCGGCCGTCGGCGCGGCGACGGAGCCCGTCTGCTCGCTCTGTGCGTACACGGTCTGGTAGCTCTCCTCGTCCTGCGGCGTCGCCTCGCGCTGGAGGTACGGCGGCAGCGGCGTCTCTCCGAGCAAGCCGAGCAGCGACGAGAGCGGCAGCGATGAGAGCGGCAGCGACGAGAGCGGCGGCGACGGGGTGGCGGGGTGGCTGTCCGGAGGCAGCGACAGCCGCACGGCAGCCTCGACTCCGTCCCGCTCGCCCTGCTCGATCCAAGGGGCGAGGACCGCCTCCACCTCGAGATCGAGCGAGGCCGCGGCGCCCGGCGGCGCGACTGTGAGCCGCGCGCCGCTCACCTCGAGCGGCGCACGCACCTGCCATGGACATGTCGTGGACGTGTCGAGGAGAGGTCGCCTCGGCTACCTCTCGACACCTCTCGGCTACACCTCTCGGCTACACCTCTCGGCTACACCTCTCGGCTACACCTCTCGGCTACACCTCTCGGCTACACCTCTCGGCTACACCTCTCGGCTACACCTCTCGGCTACACCTCGGCTTCACCCCGGCTACACCTCGGCTTCTCTCTCGGCTACCTCTCGCGCCATGGCGCGCCACAGCTGCCCCGGCGCGGGGCTCGAGAGGGCGCCGCTCGGGTCGGCGTGCGAGAGCGGCGCGAGGAAGAGCACCTCGACGGCGCGGGCGGCGGCCTCCTCCGCGGGCGTGCCCCTCCCCGCTCCCGCACCGAGCAGCGAGGCGTGCACCCGCGCGGCAAAGACGCGCGACTGGTTGAAGACGAGGTGCGCGCCTGCGGGGCGTGCGGCCGGCACGCTGCGTCGTGGGCGTGCCGACGGGCCGGACGCCCTCGGGACTGGCGCGAGGAGAGGCGCGCCGCGTGGCAGCAGCGCCGGCAGGTCGGCGAACGCCAAGTCGACGGCACAACCGCCCGACGGAAGCAGGCCGCCGCCGCCCCCTCGGCCGGCCACCCGCCGCTCCGCGCCGCCGCGCACCTCGTCGGCGAGGCGCGGTGCGGCGGCACGCGCTGGCAGGTGCAGGAGGAGGCGCGAGGAGCCGCGCGGCTCTGCCGGGTGCGACGCGATGAGGGAGGCGGGCAGGGCGTACCTGGCGCCGGAGGTTGGGGGGGGGGGGAGGGGTGGGGGTTGGGGTGAGCGTGGCCAGGACTCGACCCGAGCGTGTCTGGCGGCTCGCACCGGAAGCGCTCCGTGGAGAGCTCGCCGATGCCGGGCGGCGGCGGCGGCGAAGTGCGGGGGGACTTACGCAGGCTCAGAGCTGCTGCCGCACAAAAGGGCGCTCGCAGAGCTGCTCGATCTCGGCGGCGAGCGCGAGGTCGTGGGCGGTGACGTCGCCGGTGGAGGTGGTGTAGGCGTGGAGCGTGAGCTGCACCCCGGCCTCGCAGCGGTGAATAGGAGGCGTGAATAGGAGGCGTGAATAGGAGGCGTGAATAGGAGGTGTGAATAGGCCTCGCAGCGGTGACTCGTGGTTGATTAGCAGTTCATATGAGCAGTTCATTTGCAGCTAGTTAGCAGTTGCCTCGCAGCGATGCTCGACGGCGCTGAGGGCGACGTGGTGGTCGAGCCGGTCGCCTGCAAAAAGGTGCCGAGAGGATGGTTCGTGGACGGGTCCTGCGGGGGGAAACGGCTCGTGGACGAGAGCCGGCCGCCGAGCTCCGCCGCCGCATCGAGCAAGTCGGCGGCCGCGCGGTGCGACGGCACGCGCACCTCGCGCACTAGCGCCCTCTGCGCGGACGGCCCGGGTCCGTCGCCGCGCTTGGGCAGCATCGCCCAGTGCTTGTTCGCGCGCAGGAAGGCGTCGACGGCGGCGGCGCTCGCGGGCGGGGTGCGCTCGTCGGCGCCTCCGACTGCACCGTCGCTCGCTCGGCGGGCGGCGGAGTCGGCGACGTTGCGGAGGAGGAGCGCGAGCGAGAGGGGCCCCACCCCGCCGGGCGACGTGACGACGAGGCCTTCGGACATGTCGGGGACACGTCCACGGTCACGTGCGAGACATGTCCCACAAGCGAGGCGGCGGCGAGGCCGGCGTGGCGGAAGGCCTCCAAGTCCTCCTGCGGGAGAGGTGGGAAAGGTGTGTGTGTGTGGGGGGGGGGAGTGGGAGAGGGGGGGGGGGGGGGCCCGTATTCTAAAGGGGGGCCTGAGCTGCTCTCCAGGCCGAACCGGGCAAGGCTACGCCGTTGACAGTAACGTACACCGATGTCGGGGGCTCATCTCGGCCACATCTCGGCTCGCCTCGGCTGCGTCTCCGCTGCGCGCTTTCCTCGGAGAGGAGGCGCTCGCCATCTCTCGGCTCCCTCTCGGCTCCCTCTCGGCTCCCTCTCGGCGATCTCTCGACCATCTCTCGGCCATCTCTCGGCCATCTCTCGGCTTCCTCGAGGTCGGAGAGGAGACGCTCGCCCGCGAAGGTGGTGCCGACGCTCACCACGGCTGCGCCATCCTTGACCCACGCGCCGCGCACCAGCCCAGGGTAGCCGGCGCACGAGACAATCACGTCGGCGGAGCGGCAGAGGGAGGCGAGGCCCTTGGTGCGGCTGTGCGCCACGCTCACCGTCGCGTCTGCGGCGAGGAGCGCCGCCGCGAGCGGGCTGCCGACGATGCGAGAGCGGCCGATGACGAGCGCGTGGCTTCCCGCGAGGGCGACGCCTCGCTGCTGCAGCAGCTGCAGCACGGCCTCGGGGGTGACCTGCTCGCAGGCAGACGTGTGAAGAGTCGCGCGGCACCGCCCCCCAACCCCCTCCCCCCCTCTGGAGTGACCGGCAGGCAGCCGCGCAGGCCCGGACGAGGGTCGCGGCTCGTGCGGCCGACGCAAGAGCCGCCATTGTACCTGCGGGGAGAGAGAAGGGGGGGGGGGGGTATGGGGAGACCACAGGAGCGGTTCGCTTACTCGGAGCGCGAGATGTGGGGAGGTATGGGGAGATCTGGGGAGATCTGAGCCGCTGTACTCGGAGCGCGAGACGAAGTGCGCGCCTGGAGGGCGGGGTCAGGGTGGGGTGGGGTGGGGGGGTCAGGGTTGGGGGGGCGGGGTCAGGGTGGGGGTGGGGGTCAGGGGGGGGGAGGCGCCAGGCGTGGGCGCTAGGTCTGGGCGAGGCTAAGGTCTGGGCGAGGCTAAGGTCTGGGCGAGGCTAGGTCGCGGCTAGGTCTCGCCGTCGACGTCCAGGTGGGGCGGCACCGCCCCGTAGGCAGCGACGGCGTCGACGTGGGCGGGGAGAGGCCACATCAGCTGGATGCCTGCGCGGGGGGGGGGGGGGCTTGGAGGAGGCCCCGGCGGAGGCGAGTCTTCGCATCGGAAGGGCTCGCCGTCGCAGCGGCGGGAAAGGGCGGCGAGGGCGGCGAGGAGGTCGGGCGTGGCGGTGGAGTACGGCAAGTCGAGCTCCTCGACGAGGACGCCGTGCTTCTCTCCGGCCGCCGCCTGTGTTGCGACGCTCCGCGGCGAGTGAGCGAGAGTGAGCCAGTCAGCTGCTCCACTAGCGAGAAGGCCCGCCTTGTTGAACCAGCTCTGGCCCGCCTGCCGCCAGGCGGGGAGATCTCGCCGAGATGTAGCCGAGATGTAGCCGAGATGTAGCCGAGATATGGCCGAGATATAGCCGAGATATAGCCCGCCTGGCGGCGGGCGGGAACGCGTCGTGGATGTGCGGAACGGTGGCTATATCTCGGCTATATCTCGGCTATATCTCGGCTATATCTCGCCGGTGCGATGGCCTCGCGCGAGGAAGCGCCAGCGCTGGTGTGCCCCTCGGCAAGCTCTCCTGCAGGGGCAGCTCCAGGAAGGTTCCGAGTTGGTTCCTTGCGACCCCCCCCCCCCTTCTCCGCCAGTGACGAGGCCGAGGCGAGGTAGGGTCTGGGACGTGTCTAGGAAGGCTCGCCGACAGTGACGAGGCCGAGGCGAGGGGGCTGGCCTCGCTCGCTGCGGACGGCGGCTGCCTTTGCAGCCACCTGAGCGCAGTGCGCAAGGAGGGGCCGGGGAGGGGTGAGCAGAGGCTGGCGGGGTGGCGGGGTGTGGCGGTGGCGGGTGGACCCTCCCAGCCACGCGCCCCCTCCACCCCGCGCGACACTGTGAGCATATGGTGGTGCTCCCGGGGGCCGTAGCCTTCGCCGCCGGAGTGGAGAAGGTCGGCGCGGTCGTGATCGTTGCCTCAAAGCACTCTTCCGCTTCTTGGAGAAGAGGTGGGCTTAGTCCAAGCCCCTGGAGCTTTTCCCATG